ATAATAGGGACAGTCTTGGATTAGATTAGAAGATAGATTTCACTTCGGATAAAAAAACGAGTATTGGATTAGATTAGAAGATAACAATCACTTTGGATAATAAAGAGAGTATTGGATTAGATTAGGAGATATCTATCATTTGGAATAATAAAGAGAGTATTGGATTAGATTACAAGATAGCTTTCACTTCGGATAAAAAACGAGTATTGGATTAGATTAGAAGATAATGTGGACTCATCCAATATCCTTACCTTTCCAACCCTAACAAAAGCAGAGTCCACATCGTACGCCTACGTACCTAGAAAACTTCAACCAATAAAAACGGCAAGAAACGAAGCAAACAACCCCATTGGTCAATCACTTGAAGTTCACGTGCAAAACTGAAATTGCGCCAAATTCAAGTGAGCCACCCGGTGGATATATAAACAGAGAACGTTTAAACCTTCAGAGAGAATAGCAGCAGTAATTACCAAGTTTCAAGATGTAACATTTCACCGACTCCCGTCTTAGACATTGCTGACCAGACGTTAAAGACAATTACCAACTCCACGCCAGTCAGTCTCACGAATTCGCAGAGTAATTTCCAATATACTCCACGCCGCTACAAACCACAATTTTGCCGCGCACGAAGACACTTCGCTGACTCATATTCGATCATTCATCAATCAACTCTGTGAACACTTTTCTCAACTTTGCTTATGTACAGTGAATTAAATTCACTACTAAAAGATAAGTAAACACCAAATACGTTTATTCGACACAAACAAAAAGACAGCGAACCAACGAACAATATCAACAGAGACATTCACGAATCTAACAATTACACACACAATTTTGTACACACGACACACACTGATTACCCAATCTGTATATTGATAAATTGTATAAATGTTGCATTGTTTTCTAAATTGCTTATGTCTCGTTTTTAATTGCATTTGAAAGTTCGTTTATTTGTTTGGGGATGCAGTGAGACACGCAACCCACTAAAAAAATCCTTCTGAAATAATTAACAATCCTGCACGTCCCCAACAATAACAATCACTTTGGATAATAAAGACGGTCTTGCATTAGATTAGAAGATAACTGTCATTTTGGATAATGAAGACAGTACTGGATTAAATTAGAATATAGATGTCACTTTGGCCTTCGTCCGTTTTTAATAATCTTCCCCTATTTGTATTAAGAGCTAAATTATACTTACTCCTAGTGGATTTGATCTGGAGATCAAGATGATATGGTCTCACATTGCGTTAGGATTTATTAAATGACTAGTGTAAAAAATGACGGCAATTGTTACAAAGTTTTAATATGCAACGAAACAAAAGTTTTGCAACAATGCATTCAGATGCCATAAAGGGGAGATCCATAAATTACAACTCAAATGGTGGCTAATGAACCGCTTAATTAATCCGTTCCCCTTATATTTTTTAGATGATCAATGGTATATATCATTTATTGATGACACTTGGCATTATATACGTCGCTTTGTGCTTAATATCTTTTCATGTTAGAAATTTGATTTGTTTAATATAAATGTAATATGAAATGGAGACACCTCTCGAAATAAGAATACGATTAACAACATCACGACAAAGACGATGACGTCATCGTCTATCTCAAGACGAAGTTGAAGCAAGACTCTCACTTAATAAACAAAGGTATCTTAGTAACTCACAAGAAAGGCTTTGATAAATAAAATTGCAGTCTAAAAACGTCGTCGTAAGCGAATAGATTAATTAAACGATTCAGCTTGTTCGGGAACTAATTTCGTTTAAACTAAATAAAGATAAATATTTTCTTTGTATAGATTATTAAATTGACTAAGGAAAGTAACCACTCATAAATTAACTTGATTTACTCCACTTCCCACTACAGAGCGTGACACGAAAAATATGAATAAATAAACAACAGTAATTATCATTCAGGGTGCGATGGGAAAATTGTCGCTATTTTATATTTTTATATTGTTGTTCAGTTGTAGACCGTCTGTAAGAAAAAGAGAGCCATAACACAATACACTCCACCAGAAATTTAGAAACGGAATGCCGTGTTGCTTGACCTTTGCGCCGGAAGCTCAAATACGAACATTTAAGAGTGTGTGGTTGTCAATCTAAGAAAAGTGCAGAGTTGGATGAGTCTAATGGTGATTGCGAAGGTACGACAGCTCGTAAAACTCATTCTGATAGAGATGGCAATGTTATGCCTCCATTCATCTTCCTACAGGGCTTCAGACTTAATACGGAGGCCTACATCAAGTATTTTGAGGAGATATTGCTGTCCTGGATCAAGAGGGTAGCTGCAGGAGGACCCTATATCTGACAACAGGACTCTGCACCATGCCACACACAGGAGAATCCAGTCATGGCTGTGACCACATTACCCCTTACATCTGGTCATCTAATTCCACAGACTTCAACACCCTTTGATTATTATGTGTCGGGCACAGTTGAGCGAGAGACCAACAAAACTCCTTGTAACACCAAAGATGAACTGAAGGCAAGGATTATGGCAGCATTCACCAACTTAAACAAGGAGACCGCCCAAAAGAATTGCAGGAGATCCCGAAGATGTCTGGCGGTCATGGTTGAAGTCAATGGCGGTTTTACTGAATAAATTTATTCTTTAGTATTTCAAGATAGTTTTGTGTAATTTTGGTAAATATACCTGTTAAAATGCGATGCCAGTTTTATTTTCATTTTTGCATAATTTAGACGACAATTTATTCATTGCACCTTGTATAATAGATGTAGTCTTTCAACTCCAATCAAAATGTCTCAGTTGGGATTCTGGTTGAGTGATGATATTACACACACACACACACACACACACACACACACACACACACACACACACACACACAAAATTCTTAGGATTTCTTTGAAATTAACAATATTGCTTTATTATTCAAATTTCTAACAATGGTTTTTTGCCACTGAATCTACACATGGGGTTGTAAGTTCATAGAATAAATAAGTATCACACAAATTTGAAACAATCAATACTGTAGTAGCCTTATGTATTATACAATAGGTAGTGGAATTGGATTAGTCCATTAATAATTTCTCAGCAGCGATTGTAATAAAGTTTTCCCGTGATGCAAAGCAACAGCATTCATTCAGAAATTGATCACGTAACTGCAGGTGGTCGTGATGAGGGGAACACTATAACAAGGTGATGACCCTGTTCAAAGCTTTAAAAAGGGAATCGACCGTAGTCGGGATCATCGAATCAATGCGAACGCCCCTCTTCTTAGCTGCATAATATCTGTTTCACCTGTGCCCATTCTCTGACGATTGTCAAGCTGGCGTCGGAATCCTTTGTGCAATGAGAATGGTAGAGATGCAGAATTGCCATCTTCGGTCTCGGCTCATTTCATCGCAGACAAAAACACGGTGTCGATGTTGCTCGCTCTAGTTATAGAACATGGCAGAGGAAAAGAACAGATACTACACTTTGCTCTAAAGCAGAGGGACAAGAAGAAATGACACTTTGATACATGGCAGGGTACACTACTCTGGTCATTGGACGGTGTAGTAATCACTATGCAAATAATCCTATAATCCTTTACGGTTACAATGTTAGTTCTTAATAATGTCTTACTAACCTATTATCGGAAATAAAACCCAAGTGAAATGGTCACCTGATCAATACTCTGCCACTGATATTTAATAGCGAAAATCGAAGTCACTACTCAGTCGTAATTGATCTAGGGAGACAAATTCGTTTACCATTACACTACATCGAAGTGCTCATAAAATGGTTTTCTAAGCGTGGCTTAGATGTGGCACAAGGCCGAAAGTGTGGAGCACCCGGTGAAGATCGAACACAGTCGTAATTGATCTAGCTTTAGATCAAGATTGTTAACCATTACGCCACGTCGAGGTGTCTTGCTGATGATATTTGATATTGAATTATTGAGTTAAGTGCAGGTAAAATCTTTTCTACAAGTTTGATTGATTCATTTGCAAACAGAAGAACAGAATTAATTTCCAAGACACTCATAAATTATTTGTTGGGATAAAAGCGGCCTTGACAAGTACATGGATTCAATGAAAGAAGGTTTTTGTTGATTGAAGAAAACGTTTCTATTGTATTTAGCCTTTTTAGATTTGCACTATGTCAGATTTCATTATACAAATCAATGTTTTCTCAGTAAAGCTGATATTAACTAAGCGATGGTAAAATTCTAACGATACATACATTATATATATATATATATATATATATATATTTCAGCAATATATCGTGTGAGTTTGCACTTAAAATATCTCTCTTTATTAAAAAATAAAAAATATTGATAATAATAATTGTTCTCGGCGCGTGATCGGGTTTTATTATGCAAACTAAATGCAACATGATTTTTATTTATTTATTTTAATCATTTCAACCCAAGACGAGAATGCCACTAGAACGCGGGTGAGGGTGTTACAGAGAGTGAAAATGAAGGACAATGAGAAGACTGAGAATGGAGAGGATTGAGGAAAGGAGAAAAAAGGAACAGGTTTCAAGAAGACAAAAGATGGCGATTGACGTGGCATTTAAATTTTTTGAAGATTGTAGTTATCATGGAAGCAAGTAACTGGAAGGGAGTTGCACAGGTGGGAATTGCGAGAAAAGGAACTGTTAGAGTAAAAGTGATACTTACATCTAGCTATTTTAACAGTAAAACGGTGGGACCTAGTTGCCAATCTAGTTTATGAATAAATTCACAAGATATAGATAATATAGTTGGTTGTTTCTGTTTAGGGGTATATCAACCTCTACAGGTTATTTAACGTCGAAATTTAAATATTTTATATGGAATTTTATTTTATTTTATTTTGTAGATAATAATGTATTTTAATGATAAAAGTCTTACTAATTAACCCATAGCTTGGATTCATACCTTTCCCGAGGGTATTTTCGCGTGAGTGAATATAACGAACCCAACGGGAAATGGAACCCGGCACTCTGATTAACAATTCCAAGTCATTATCCATTACATCAACTGCATATCCAAGCTTACAACACCTGGTATTCATAAGCGGTCACCGATTTAAGTACTGACCAGGTTCGACGTTGCTTAACTTCGGTGATCGTACGGGAACCGGTATATAGGTAATATATATCTGATGAGCACAATATCCCATATACCTGAATAAAATATTATTATTACTATTATTATTGTGTATGTTATCATTGTGTCAGAGAGTAATTTTAATTGCCTAATTACCAAGCCTCCTCCGGGTAAAAAGGGCAATTGTAGGAGAGTTATCTGTGTACATTTGGGACGTTTCGTTTAGATGGAGAGAGATTTTCCGGCTGATATATGCAGTACCGCGCAAAGCGATCTTGTGTAGCTCTGAGATGCTGATGTCTCATGCAATTTTGTTCACAAGATTTTCAGTACCCCTCTTTACCATACCTAATGTTCCTATCATAACAGGGATAATTGTAGTTTTAAGTTTCCACATTTTTGTTAATTCAATTTGCTGGTCCTTATAATTTAACAGATTTTGAAATTCTTTTTTCGGAACATTGGAATCCTGTGGGCAAGTCATGTCAATTAGTTGGCGGGTTCATTTTTGGAAATTTTTTTGGACTTTGTCTGCTCTATGTGCATCAATTTTCTTGTTTGTGAGGAGTGAGAAATTCCATATAGTTATATTTATGCGTTGATAGAATGTTTAAAATTCTCATATACATGTCTTTTAATGATGGATTACAATTCTTCCATTCGATTAATACCTGGATAGTCTGGGGACTATTCTATTAATATGGTGTTTTCGAAAGCGTTTTTATTTCATTTTTTCATTGGGACATTTCGAAGTTTATATCTGCTTGGTACAATCCCAGCAATAAATGTCCATTTTACAGAGAGATGTTTAGGGAGATGTCAACTCTTCCACGCGTGCCCACTATATATATATATATATATATATATATATATATATATATATATATAATAGTGGACACTAAGGTCAACACCAAGAGGCAATGGTCTGTTTCATGCCTGAACGCTATCTTCAGGATATATATATATATCTTTCCTTTCCTCTCCCTCCCTCTTATTCTGATCTTTAACATTAGATCGTCTATGGTGTGTGTATGTCACCACGAAATATATCTTTATGTATTAGACATCCGACAACATTCATATTTCCCCCCTTCCACTCCTCTCCTAAATTTCTCTCTGTTAAGGTTTAATCTCCCACCTTCTCTCGTCTGTTACCCATCTCTTTAGCTCTAACATTCATCCCACACTCTCATACTTACACTCTCTCTAAATTCTATTTTTATTTCCGGAGTTGTTTTTTTCTGTTTTCTTTTTGAATTTGTAGGTCTGATGAATTGGATCATATTTACGATTCCAATGGAATAAATTATTACCATGGAATATTTGTGTTTAAGCTTTTTTATTTATATATATATATATATATATATATATATATATATATATATATATATATATATATTCGAGGCCGGGTGTTTAGAACGTTCGCATCTAAATATGTAACAGGGGTTCGAATCTTACCATCATTGATTTGTTGAAGTAAATTTTGAATTTTATCGTCTTATAGAGGCAACCCGAACGCCCGATACGTTTGGAAAGGGCCCGAAAACCATACCCAAGGTAGATGGAAATGTTCAGAAGCTGTTGATAACACGAAGCTAACACGAAGTCACTAGTCATTGTGACCGAGGGTTTCAGCGAACTGAAGTTCAAGAAATTGATCAAGTGTTCAATAAACGTTAAATCATGTGTTTTCTCCCAGAAACCGTAACTAATGTCCACTCAGTACAAACTAGATGTATGCTCGGAAACGTGTGTGTATATATATATATATATATATATATATATATATATATATATATATATATAAAGAATATCAAACACTTAAGGTAATACTTTTTATTTTATTAGAGCTCTAAAAAAGCAGTTCTCAATCTTCGAGACCTACAAACAAACATTGTTTGTAGGTCTTGAAGATTGAGAACTGCTTTTTTAGAGCTCTCATGAAATAAAAATTATTACCTATGAAATTTTAAGTGTTTGATATTCCTTATTTAATCCTTTTGATCTGTTTTTGACGTAGACCTCTTCCTCATCTATATCCTTCTGGAAATTCTATACGGATTACCATATTGTATCATATATATATATATATATATATATATATATATATATATATATGTGTATGTGTGTTTAGGCAGAATATCTTCATTGAAATATGTTTCATTGAATAATATAGATATATTTTGTCTACTTCTATACTTATCCCTTCCAGTTGCCTAATCAGTTTCTTGATGTTAAGATGTAATTAATCAACTACGGAGCCTTTCTTGATGAACTTCAACTTAATATCAAGGAACTCATTAGACAATTTGAAAGGATCAGCATAAAAATACGTAGACGCAATATGTCTATCTGACTTCTTGGATCAACCCTCTTTTTGATTTACATAAATGATCTACCTAAGAAGATACTCCAATAATTTGTAAACGTCTATGCCGATGATACGATGATATACAGGCGCACATCTAAAAGTGTTGATAATCAGAGATTGTCATCTGAGCTCTCTTCTGAGCTAACACTAACTTCCTGGTGGGGAAAAACTGGCTGGTTACATTCGATGCCTCTAAAATCAAACTGGTTGCATTCTGTCATCGCCGATCAGACCACGAACTACCGCCGGTCACGGTGAACGGATGTCTCCTTGAGGAGACCCCATGCCTCGAGAGGATATTGGGCCTCAAACTCACCTCGACCTCAAGTGGAATTCCTATATACGATCCATGGCTAAAGATGCAGGTAAAATGTTCAGCTCCCTGTATCGCTCCAGTAAGTACCTGACTCCTCATGCTATCCTCTACATCTACAAGAGACAGATCAGGCCGAAAATATATACTGTTCCCTTATTTGGGCAGGAGTTGCCCAGACCTCACTTTCCAGTCTTGATAGAGTTCAAAAGCGTCTCTGAGTCCTTGTGAGAGAAAAGGATTATTTTCCACACTCCAACCTCGCTCTCACAGGCGGGATGTGGCGAGTCTCTCATTGATCTATCGCGACTACCATGGAAAGTGCTCAGACGAACTGCATCTCCTGGGTTCACCAGGTCAGACCTTCACGGCTAGAACCCTCCATGCCACTTACAGAGTAGCATACCACCCACATTCCCTCTGTTGGCGAGAAGTAAGTTCCAATCAAACAGCTTCTACCTGCAAACCACTGACCTATGGAACAAACTCCTTAGAGGATGTTTTCCTGATTACTACAATCTTAACCTGTTCATGTCTAAAGTCAACCGTTATCTTCCCCTCCTATGCATATAAAGTACCCCTTATCGTAACCCTCTACCTCGAGTGGCCCATGGGCCTTGTACAGGGTGAATATTACTGTAATATATATATATATATATTCTACATTCAACACCATCACTTGATAAGACACCAGAAGAGTTGAAACAAAATGGCTATTTTTGTAGTGATTTTATAACATATTTATGTTATAATTTTCGAATAAATTATATATATATATATCGCGACATACGTATTTTTTGTTTATCTTATACATAAATATGTACGTACATACAAATAATGGCCAGCTACTCTCGCTCTCTGACCACACCCGTCTATTGTCTCTTTCTCTCTCTCTTTCTATAATATATATATATATATATATGTGTGTGTGTGTGCGTTTGTGTGCTAATATAGACGGACAAACATATTTATCGGCACATTCACAAAGTTCAGCATTTACACGTGAAGAGTCGGTTAACTCTTGTACCAGACTTCATTTATCAGGCACCCAATGATGGACGAATGAATGTACTATTTATTGTTGACTCACCTGAAACAGACACGCGCTATGCCAAATGCATATTTTTGCAATCTCACTCTCTCTCTCTCTCACACACACTCTCTCTCTCATTCCTCTTATTCCAACCGATTCACAATATCCTTTCCCACAAACAGCTACACTTAACAAAGCATGCTTTCCTTATCTCAGTAGGGTACAAGGTCCTAGGAAATAGAACAGTTTTGATCACCATCCAATACGACGCATGGGGTCTGGATAATAAAACTAGTATATGGATCCAATGCAAAATCCTATTTTTGGTGTGGACCCAAACTTGATGGTAAATATGTTACTATTTCAGACAGAAGACAAGAAAAAGCATTTTTTTCTTCCTTGGTATTTACCCAGCTGTGTTAGTAAGGCATAAGTCTAAGTTAAAATGAGAATTAAAAAACACTGACTGTCATTACATTATTTACAGAAATGTACACACACACACACACACACACATATATATATATATATATATATATATATATATATATATATAAGATTAAAGGAAATCGGAAAGTCCTCTTAGTGTTGTGGTGAGTTTTATTAATGGAAAATCCCAAGGGCAAATTTCTCGTTCTTTTATTTAAGATGTTGGCATTAAAAGGTACTTTCAAATATAGCCTTATTGATTTGTAGGATCGTGCTGCAGCATCATTTATTTCCATACAGAAACACACATCGACCTCACACTCTGCCCCCCTCTCTCTCTGCATATATATATATATATATATATATATATATATAATTTTATATTGTTTAATCTTTACTATATTTATGAGAGAAGATATCGATATCAGACGGTTTGCAGTTATAAACAATGTGGACATAGAAATCAACACTGCATGGTATGAGTTTCGCATCTGAAGTGATTATCGGACCGTCTGATGGTATGAAACTGACAGTCATCATGTAGTGATTTCAATATCTACACAGTTTATAACAGTGTATATATATATATATATATATATATATATATATATATATACATAATTTTAATGTAAGCTATATTTATGAGTATTAGGAATAGAGCGTTTGTAAATAATTATAAGAGTGGATACAGGTCAACACCGAGTAGCGACAATCTGTTTCATGGTTGAATTTAATCTTCAGACCTTGAAAAATTGTGTTCAAGCATGTAAAAGGCCATCTTACACACACACACACACACACACACACACACACACACACACACATATATATATATATATATAATATATATATATATATATATATATATATATATATATATATATATATATATA